CACCCCACCGCCCACCACACGCCGCCCGCCTCCACCCCCAGCCTCCAGGATCCTTCCGCCGCGTCCTCACCTCTCAGTGTTGTTGACGATCACTCCGCCACCCTCCGAGTGATTCTTGTTGAGCGCCATAGTCTCTCCTCCCACTGGGGTCCCGAGACTCGCAGCGCTCTGCGCCTGCGCCGGTCTTCGGCCCGCCTCCAGTGGCGTCGTTCGTATTACAGCCAGCCAATCATCGCTCCTGCGCGCAGGCTGACCAACCACCTGACCTCCGATGTCACGTGGCGAGAGTTTACTCCCGCTCCCCCTCCCCCAAGTCGCACCTGCATCACAAACAAGCCGCGGACTACAATTCCCAGCAGGCGATGGTTCCCTCAACCGCGACCTCTCCTTGCGTTGAGTGGTGGTTGAATTCTGGGACTTGTAGTCTTTTTTTTAACTCTAGGACAGGCTTGCTAGGTTATTTACAAAGTCTTAAACATCTGTACGCGTCTCCCAAACCGGCCTCCTCGTGTTAAGCAAACTCAATTGGAGAGATGTAACTTAAACGTGGTGACTTGGTGTGTGCCACCTTTAAACCACTTAATGAGCCGCCTTCGTCCTCGCCCATACTCTTGGCTGTGCGAGACGTAGCCCTGTCTAAGGTGGACTGGAACAGTCCCAGCAAAATACGCTTTAATCACCTCCAACCGTGACCCCGCGAGTCGGACAGTGTGAACTTCTGGGGAGAGTGATCGGCTCCCCACCGTCCTCCCCACCGTCCTCCCCGCCCCCTGCACCGGCCACCCCTGCACCGGTCCCCTGAACCGCCCCCCTGCACCGCCCCCTGCGCGGATCCCTGCGCCGCCCCCTGCACCCTCTGGCCTCACGATGGCGCTGCGCCCTCTCAGTCTAGCTCGCTAGTCTAAACAGCAGGACTTTGAAGACCCAGGCGTGGGTGTCTGTCCACTACGTTGCAGAGAATCTGAACTCCATCTGAGGTGGCTCTTTCGCGGGCCGGGAAGGACTGCGGGACGTCCTCACTATCCCTAGATCTGGGGGATCAGGGTTTGGTCCCAAGCAGACAGCATAGCGGTTCACATCCCAGCATTTGGGAGGCTGAGGCAGGAAGCTGCGGCAAATTGGAGGTCAGCTTGGGTTGCATAAGGATTTCCAGTCCAGCCTCAGCTATTGTAAGACGCTGTCTTTAAAAAAAAAAAGTGGTGGTGGTGTAGCGTGTGTGCGTGTGCGTGTGTGTGCGTGTGCGTGTGTGTGAATAGATGGCTCAGCAGCTGAGAAGGAGGGGTCCCGAGATTGCTTTCCAGCACTGAGGTCAGGCGCTGACGTCTCTGGCCTTCTCATGCATCATATATATATATATATCATAGATGTGCACACATACACATCATTAAAAACTAATGAAAACACATTTTAAAAATGTTTATTTCCACTTTATGTATGTAACGGGTTGTCTGCATGCATGCATGTGTACTACAGTGTGTACAGGAGCCGCAGGAGGACACAGGAGGGTGTCACATCTCTTGGAGCTGCAGATCCAGATGGTTATAAACTGTTTGTATGGGTGCTGGCAACCAAATTCGTGTCTTTTGCAAGGACAAGTTATCTTGGCTGCTGAGCCACCTTTCTGGTCCCATAAAGTAAGTCTTCTTTTAAAAAAAGTAAAATCCAACTCTATACGGTAATATACAGAATGTTGAAGAAATACACTTTTATTTGCATAAAAATAAGATACTGATAGTCTTCAGGCAGGAATTGCAGCACTATCCCTTTGAGACACAGTTTTGGGAATTTCGGGGTGACTCAGTGCAAGGAGTCTTTTGCATTCTTTAGTTTTTTTTTTTTTTTCTGGGTACACTCTCATAAAAGTCAAATAGCGCTGGGCAGTGGTGGCGCACGCCTTTGATCCCAGCACTTGGGAGGCAGAGGCAGGAGGATCTCTGTGAGTTCGAGACCAGCCTGGTCTACAAGAGCTAGTTCCAGGACAGCCTCCAAAGCCACAGAGAAACCCTGTCTTGAAAAACCAAAATAAATAAATAAATAAATAAATAAATAAATAAATAAATAAAAATGGCTACAGATTTTTGTTTGTTTGTTTTTGAGAAAAAGCATCTTAGAACCCATTCAGACTCCTATGTAACAGTTATGTAGCCAAGGCTGGCCTCAAATTCCTGGTCCTCTACCTCCCGAGCTAGCAATACAGACTTCTGCCACCATGCCTGGCCAGATTTATTTATTTGTTAATTTACTTAATATAGAGGGTCTCTTATATGATGATGACCTTAAACTCCTCGTCTCCTGGCTCTACCACCTCCTGAGATTATAGCTGTGTATCTCCCTGCCAGGGTTACAATGCGCTGGATTAGCTGACTCCAGGCTCTCTTGGACACTGTGCAAACCACTCTACTAAACTGGACTGTGTCCTCAGCCCCAGGTTTTTTTGGTTTTTGTTTTTTGTTTTTTAGAGCAAACTCCAAGCTGACTGTAATGAAGCAATCAGTAATCAGAGGCAAGAAGACAGCTGAAAATTCTCACCCCTGCTCCTTGTTTACTTGTTGAACTCCCAGCCATCCAGGTCTATATACAGGGACCCTGTCTCAAACCAAACCAAACAACCAACCAAGCCTGGTGTGGTGACACTTGCCTTTAATCCCAGCACTCTGGAGGCAGAGGCAGAGGCAGAGGCAGAGGCAAAAAGGATCTCTGTGACTTTGAAACCAACTTGGTCTACAAATCGAGTTCTAGGAAAGCCAGGGCTGTTACACAGAGAAATCCTATCTCAGAAAAAAAAAAAGCGCAAAACAAAAACAACAGCAATAAAACTAAACAAGACAAAAACAAAGTAAAATAAAATTAATAGCCAGTCCCAGCACTCTGGAAGCAGATCTCTGTGAATTCAAGGCCAGCCTGGTCTACAGAGTTCCAGGACAGCCAGGAGCACATAGAGAAACTATTATCTCAAAAACAAACAAACACAAAACAAAAACAAAAGAATAAAGGGCTAGGTAGATGACTAAGGGAATAAGAGTGCTTGCTGCTGTCCCAGGGAGAAGAGTTCAGCGCCTAGCACAAGTCAGGTGACTCACATGGCCTGTAAATCCACTCCAGTGAATCTGATAATCTGATGCCCTCTTCTGGTCTTTGCAGGCACCTGCACTCAAAAGGACACACACACACACACACACACACACACACACACACACACACACACACAAAGATAATAGAAAATAAAAAGAGCTCAATCCTTCCCTGGGGATCTAAAGGTTGTTCCTGAGACTTGGGGACAGACTGGCAGGAGGAAGGCCTCTGGGGAGACATCATCCCAGGAACTGAGTCTCTGAAAGGTTTCTATTCTCAAGTCATATCTTGCAATGTTTGACATTCACTGAAGTTACCAGTTTTGCCTCTTGTCATGGACTGAACAGAAAAATTATAAACAGCCTTGTTTGGGCTAGTTTCCAGCCAAATGACTCAATACTTCCTTGACTGGATTGTTGGATTGGTCCAGCTAGAGCAGTGTTTCCTGCTTTCACTTCTGTTCTTCAGAGATAGGATTATCTATAGGTAGAAATGTCTTTGCTTTACACCAACATCCTCTTAATTATTTTAAATTAAAAAATGCTTTTATTTTTTAAACTGGGCAGTGGTGGCACATACCTTTTATCCCAGCACTTGGGAGGCAGAGGCAGGTGGGTCTCTGTGAGTTCAAGGTCAGCCTGGTCTACAAAGAGAGTTCCAGGCCAGCCAGGGCTGTTTCAAAGAGAAACCCTGTGTCAAAAAAAATTTTTTTTTGTACAGGGGGTGATGGTGGTGGTCCACTCCTTTAATCTCAGCACTCATGAGGCAGAGACAGGTGGATCTTTGAGTTCAAGGTTCACTCTTCCACAGACTGAGTTCCCGGCTGGTCTGGAACTCACAGAGATTGCCTGCCTCTGCCTCTTGAGTGCTGGGATTAAAGGTGTGCACCACCACGCCAGCACAACCTCCTTTTTAACTGCCCCCCACCCCCATTTTTACTTTCCTTGTTTTGTGTGTGTGTGAACTTTTAAATAACCTATTCATTCTTATTTTATGTGCATTAGTATTTTGCCTGCAGGCATGTCTGTGTGAAGGTGTCAGATTTTAGAGTTATAGACAGTTGTAAACTGCCATGTAGGTTCTGGGAATTGCACCCTGCTCCTCTGAAAGAGTAGTCCATGCTCTTAACTACTGAGCCATTTCTCCAGCCCTGCGTGAGAATTCTTTTTTAAATTTATTTTATGTGCATTGGTGTGAAGGCATCAGATCCCCTGGAACTGTAGTTACAGTTGTGAGCTGCTATGTAGGTACTGGGAATTGAACTTGGGACCTCTGAAAGAACAGTGTTCTTGGGGCTGGAGAGATGGCTCAGAGGAATAGGATGATGGGAGGGAGAGGGAACTGGGATTGGTATGTAAAAATATTATAAGAAAATATAATAATAAGGGGCTGGAGAGATGGCTCAGAGGTTAAGAGCACTGACTGCTCTTCCAGAGGTTCTGAGTTCAATTCCCAGAAACCACATGGTGGCTCACAACCATCCGTTATGAGACCTGGTGCCCTCTTCTGGTGTGCAGATATACATGGAAGCAGAATGTTGTATACATAATAAATAAATAAAATCTTTAAAAAGAAAGAAAGAAAGAAAGAAAGAAAGAAAGAAAGAAAGAAAGAAAGAAAAGTGTTCTTAACCACTGAGCCATTTTTTTTACTTTTTTGTTTTTCTTCCCCTCCTCCCCAAGACAAGGTCTCACTATGCAGCCTGGTTGGCTTAGAACTTGATATGTAGGCCAGGCTGCATCTGAATTTACAGATCTATGCTTGTTTCTGACTCCCAAGTACTGGGATGAAAGGCATGGACTATCATATCCAACTTTGTTTATAATTTCTTTTTAAAAACATATATTGAGATTTAGCCGGTTGTGGTGGTGCATGCTGGTAGGATTTGCTGAAGGAGGCAGAGGCAGGAGGATCACAACTTCAAGGCCCCTGGGCTACACATTAAAATCCCGGCGTCGGTGGCACATGCCTTTAATCCCAGCACTCGGATCTCTGTGAGTTCAAGGCCAGCCTGGTCTCCAGAGCGAGTGCCAGGATAGGCTCCAAAGCTACACAGAGAAACCCTGTCTGGAAAAAACAACAACAAAAAAACAAAACAACAACAACAAAAAAAACCCATATATATGTTATGGGATTGGAGAGATGCTTCAGCAGTT